TTTGAGCATGTTCAGCTCCAGGTTGTTGCGACTACACCACAGGACCAGCTGCTCAACCTCCCATCTGTAGGCTGACTCGTCACCATCTTGGATAAGACCAATGACCGTTGTGTCATCTACAAACTTTAGGAGCTTGATAGAAGGGTCCTTCGAGATGCAGTCAATGATGTAGAGTGAAAAGAGCAGAGGGGAGGGCATACATCCCTGGGGGGCACCTGTGCTTATTGTCCGGGTGCTGGATGTGGTTTTCCCCAGCCTCACCTGCTACTCCCTGGCTGTCAGAAAGCTCGTAATCCATTGACAGGTGGGGGCAGGCACAGTGAGCTGGGTCAGTTTGGAGTGGAGGATGTCCGGGATGATGGTGTTAAATGCTGAGCTGAAGTCCACAAAGAGGGCCCGTGCATATGTCCCTGGGGAGTCGAGGTGTTGCAGGATGTAATGCAGTGCCATGTTCTATGCCAGGGTACTGGAGAGGAAAATTTGACCGATAGTCAAACCACGGATTCAGGAGGAGAACAATGTGGTTTTCGTCCTGGCCATGGAACACTGGACTAGCTCTATACCCTCTTCAGGGTGGTGGAGGGTTCATGGGAGTTTGCCCCTGGATGTTACAGGCTCCCTCCTGATCTGTGGGTGTCTGTGATGGAAACTAGGATTTGATACTTCTATACCAGACTGAGTTTAGAGCTGCGTTAACTAAGATTTAGAACAAATTTGGACAAATCAAGTTAAAAAGACTGTCTAGAAGTGATACTGTAACATGTTGACACTACACTGATCAATCACAACATCAAAGGATACGGTTGGTCATCTTCTAAATTAATAGCATTTTTAACAGTCCCCATTCAGAGACTAAAACCAACAATGAACGGCCTATACCCTGGTTATTGTCTATCAGAATCCAACCTGGACTGGCTTATTCTTCTGTGCCACAGACCATTGTTGTTGTTCAAAAACTATTAAAAAACTGCAGCAAAACACACTGCTACAATGGATGACATGTTTCTTAATGACAAAGTAGAATACCAGTATATAATGTCTGCATTGTGCTGAGATTTTAAAACAGTACAATTTTTTGCCCTCTGCTGAATGTATACAGTAGCATTAAGTTGAAACCCCTTGCTGGCTTCGCATGATGCACACCAGATGTTTTCCATCCCTAAGGTCATTTGATCAGATTACCATTTGTTATGTGGCAGTTATTTCCAAGTAATGTACATGTTTCTACAATTAAAAACCTGTAACAATCAAACAGACAGCACTGAAGAGAAGTAGGAAGAATGTAAGGACATTTACTCAAATACTGTAATTTTGAAGTATCTGCGTATTTTTATTTTCCGATACGTCGCCACATTTGTAGATGCAAATGTAGTAAATTTACTGCACTACATTTATTTAATAACTACTTACTTTTCAGAATCAGATGAATACAACAAAATACAGTATAATCATAAGGCTTTACTGATCTACAATGAAAAACCCACAAGCTACACAGCAGTAATTCAAATTATAAATAAAAAACATAGTTCAGGGTTCATACACATTTTTACTCATAAAATTCCATGACTTTTCCATAACTTTTCCATGACTTTGAGGTACATATTCATGACCTAATG